TTTAAAAGTACTTTTGATAATAGAAGAGCTAGAAAATAAAAGCTCCACTGTGAATTCTTCCACAACTTCCTTTCTTCAGACATGAGTATTGTCAGAATGTTTGCCTACAATTTTACACTATGGAACACTGTAGAAGTTTTCTAAATTCTTAAAAATTAAAGCCATAGCATTGTCAGGTTTTTTCACATGAACTGGTTGTAACATAAGGTTTAGATATTCCAGTCCTAGTGGGAACAAAGCTTTCCCAGAGGACCTGGTGGCCACGTTCATGCCCTGCATCTTCTGTTGAGAGCATGCTTTGCTCTATCTCTTTGAACTTCTACCTTATGCACTTTTAGATTAACGTTCAAGTGCATTTCTGTTGAACAGTGAAGGCAGATAATGAAATAGTGTAAGAAAGAATGGTTTCAGCTCACTCAGCCAAGCTTCAAAGTCACTGTTCAATATATCAACTTGTTGACAATTCTCAACTGCAGAACTCCTCATTTGGTGTCCTCTTCAATATTCAGTTTGTGACAGGAATCCTGTGAAAAAAATGTTATCTCAAGAAAGTAATGGTGTTACCAAAGCTAGGTGGCTTGTTAAGAACTAACTTTGTATTTCAGTGCAGAGAAAACTTGTCTGCCACTTCCCTAAATATGGCTCTTACCTTCTCAGGTGTTCACCTTGCTAACTCCTTCTTTGAGGCTTAACCTATAACAAAAATGCCATGTGTTCAGTAAATGACAGTTTGGAGGCTTGTGGTGAGGCTCTCTCGCTCTGAGGAAAGCAGTCTTTCTTATGTCTCTTTATTCAAAACTTACTACAGTTGGAGGCATACAGAGGACTCTCTACTTAGACTTGTGATTGTATAAGCTTAGAATTGCAGAGTTCTCACAGTGAGAAAGGACTGCTGGAGACTGAGACCAACTCTGCTCTAGTGGGGCAGCTTCTTTAGCTCAGTGTCCTTTCTTGTACTAGATCCTACTCCTGGAAAGAGTGTGCAGAATCAGTATGATGATTCCTGGCTATAAACACTCTTAATGTTGCTTTAGGTTCTAAATGACACGAAGAAGCCTGTTTGGTGAACTTCTCATGTACAAACTGCTGTCTCTCAGTGGTTCTGCTGTCGTGGTGAGGGGCTTAATTGCTCAATTATCGCTCTTTCTTAGAAATGGAACCTGTGTTAGAGCAATTAAGCACATCACCAAGCTAGAAGTAGTAACTAGCTGGCTAATCTTCTTAAGAGAAAAGTGATAATTTCAGCATGAGTTCTCTTGTGACTTCTGACAGTTGGCAAGCATCCCAAGGAACTCATCTTTAAAAACACTACAGAATTCACAACACTTTATTTATTAACCGTACAGAAGCTATGATTATTACTGAGCAGACACTGAGGAGACAGATACACATGGAAACTGTCATCTTTGCAGGCCTGGTAAGAGTATTAAGCCATAATTCATTGCTTTTCAAGTGATAATAAATGCCATGTGAATTTGTCAGGGCATCAAGTCTGATTTCTCTTATGATGAGAGAAAGCTATAAAATCTCCTTATTTTTGTCAAGCTTTAATCCTATCTTTTTTTAGAAAATAAATTTGTTAAATAGTGTGAACTAAGAGCCTTGAAGAAATGAATGGGCTTTATAAAAGGGAGTTTATAACTCAGGCCTCACTCATTGAACTTTTAAAGCGCAGTGTGACACAGTATTACCTGCACTAAGTGTCTTATGCCTCAGAATTGAAGCAAGGTACGTTGGACGATGCTGAAACTCTGCAAGGATCTAAGCAGTTGAGTTACCATCCCTGAAGATGTTTAAAAAACATGTAAAAGTGGTGCTTCAGGACATGGTTTAGTGGTGGACTTGTCAGTGCTGGGTTTATGGTTGGACTTGATGATCCTAAAGGTCTTTTCCAACCTAAACAATTCTATGATACAGACTTAAAATCGATGTAGTTAAACATCCAAAATTTGATGTAGCTAAGCATGTGAAATGAAGAGGCTGTAAGGGACAACGGTCTACTATTAATATTACTACTAATTAAAGCATGAATAGTTTTATACAAGATAAATTGCATAGCAGAGTTGCAAATCCATGGGTAAATAACAGAAAATATGCAGGTCTTGTGGGAGAGACACCTTTCCAGAGTGGAAAGTTGGTGTGCCCTAAAATGAAGTCAGTGAGTCTAATTCCTGTGGATTAGGGAAGTAAACACTACTATGAATAAAAACTGCTGAGACTTCAGTTTTAAGTTCTACCACTGTAGAAGGTGGTCAAGTCTGCTTTATTTATCCATAGCTTTTCTGAAACAAGGAACAGAGGTGAAGTTGCTTTTGCATGGCTGAAGTGATTGTCTACACGTGGTCAGGTGTCCTTGAAGGGGATGCTTTCTGAAGGTGGTGTAACCCCTGGGACTGCTGCCCACCAGAACCCCCCAGAAGCTCAGAGCTCCTTAACTTTTGTAAGTGCAGGGAAAGGAAAGCATCTACAGCCACTAGTAAAGGTCGCTGTCTGAGGCTTTTTAGTGTGATCTGCTTAGTAACAGGGGAGGGAGGTGAAAGGCATTCCTGATGGGCAGGATTACTGGATAATCTTCCAAAATGAGCGTTATTCCACTTAGAGTTGAAGCAGCTGACTTGAGCCACTTTGAGAAACAAAAACCTTTTTGCAGCTGTTTCTACACACTCACAAGTCTGCTTTGAAAATATTTCAGTGCATTCAAAGAGTAAGGCAAATTTTCCTTGCAGTACCTGTCTTGGAGAAAGTAGCCAAGAGCATAGTGTGTTAAATAAACCTAAATAACTCTGAACTTTATCAGCTGTATTGACTCAGTTAATCCTTAAAGTTGTGGGACAGCTTCATAATACTTTGTGGAGAGGAGAACTAGTCATCAGGATAACTTCAAGCATCAGAGGGATATATGAAAAACAAAACAAATAAGGTCTTTGGAAAAAACCAGCAATTTTTACAGCATGTTTTTCTAGAATAATTGTGCTTCTGTTTTGGAGCCTGACTAGGAAAACAGATGAAAGCTTCCTTGCACTTAATGCTCTTAAGAGTGTTGTTTGATCTCCTTTGCAGTTACGCAACATGGAATCAATGGGAAAGGACAACAAGTATCCAGTAGTGCTCTTAGTTCTGGTTTTTTTGAAGGGGAGAATACTCAGCAAGGTTGAGCTGTTGTGGCAAGCTTCTTTAGGCTGAATAACCTAATATAGTATCATAATGGCATTGCCTTGCATAGTGTATAGTCCTCATATTTCACTTTCTGAATTTATGTCCTTTTTCACAATATAAAAATGATCCGGTTGGCATATTTTTGCTCTCTGAATTAGTTTCAACTGAAATGAGTTATCAATTAATTAGCCTCATACTTACAAGTCAGCTTAATGTCTCCAAAGTATGAATTCACAGTGTGCAACGCTTGCCTTTGGCAAGTTGAAAGCACATCAGTGTGTTAATTACATTACCTTTATTGGCCGGCTACTAGCACCACAAAGTTTGCGTGCTTGACTGTATCCTACTATGAATGGGTAACGTTGCCCTCCAGTGGCTGACAGCTAGAGGAGATATAGAGCATGTTTGCACTAGCAATAAAGAATCAATCACTGAGAAAGTCTGGGATGAGTAAGGTGTTAGCTTAGAACTATATTGTGTTTAAATGGAACAAGTTTTCACACAGTACTAGTACTTAAGTGCTCAATATATTAAGGCTGTGTAGGATGGAAGGTTTTCTCTCAAGCTTTAGTTAAGGAGGACGTAATTTCAGGGAGCTCTCCTATTCATTGCAAGAGTCCTTTTTAGCCACTATCTGATCAGATCAGCTTCTTTTGCAGTATGATTTTGAATTTATACAAAAATCAGAAATAGATTTGGCTTTACAGCAGTTGCTTCTAAATGTTAACCTTTGAATGAACTTTTCAAATAACCCTAACATAACACCTTTAATAGATTATTACAAAACAAGTAGTCTTACTCTTCTCTAGAGCCACCTCTGCTAACTTGTAAATCTATGGCTTATTGAATAAACTGATATTCTTATCTAATATATTTACAGCTCAAGTAAGTCAAACTATCTCCGTGGCTTAGAATGGAAGGGGAAAGCAATAAACCTGTCTCCACAACGTTGCTAATGTTTTGAGGCTTGACAGAGGAAATAGCTGGCTCCTTTCCCTCATGTTTTTCCATTCCTTTAATGCAAAGCTAAACAATGCTTATAGAACTCAATTCACTCCAGAGCAGCTGGAGATGAAAATAAGCTGAAGAAGCCTCAAGTCGAAGCTTTGAAACTGTAAGTGTAAAGCAAGACAGTCTTTTTCTCATTTCAGTCTAAAACTGAGTCTTGTCTTTGAGTACGGACTCCCAAGCCAGCCCCGGCCGTGGCCACCCCGTACGGTGCGGGCGGAAGGCCGCTCGGTTCCGCCGCGGGGGCCTGGGCGAGGTCCGGCGGGGATGATGCGCCGCTCCCTGAGCGCGGTTCCGGGCTCGGCCGCCCGGGATGCGCTGCCCGCGGGCAGGCAGCGCCAAGGAGCGGAACGGACCGGGAGCCCCGCGGCGGTGCGGTGGGTGCTGGCTGCCCCGTCCCCCCCCGCTTCCCCTTCGCCGGAGCCTACAAGGCTGGAAGGCGGGGGATACCGGCCGCGGGAGGGCCACCGGCCGACTCCCGGCGGGAGCGGGGCTGGCGCTGGCCCAGGCGGGCGCGGGGGCGGTGCTGCCGGGGCGGGGCGCGGCCCATCCCCGCGGGGCGGGGGGCGCGGGCCCCGGGCTGTCCCCGCCGGCAGCTCCCTGCGACGGCCACGCTGCCCCCTCCCTGCCCGGCCATTATTTACCAGCAGCCGCCGTGGTAAACACCGGGCAGGGCGCGCTCGCCGCCGCTCACCGCCGCTCACCGCCCACCCGCGGCCCTTCCCCGCGGCGCCGTGCGGCCCCGCCGGCCGCGGCCCCCGCCTCGAGAGCTGCCGGCCCGGCCCCGGTAGGTGCGGCTCCTCGCTGACCGCCTCCTCTCCGCGCTCTCCCTGCAGGACCGGTCTGTTCAACATCGGGCTATAAGAAGGCGGATGATGAGATGTCCGGAGCCACGTCCGCGGCGGATCTGGACGAGGCACCAGCCCGCACCATTTACTTGAACCAGCCCCAGCAGAGCAAGTTCCGCGACAACTGGGTCAGGTACGGAGCGGTCCCCGCTTCTCCCTTTCCGGGCGGCAACCCGCACACCCCGCAGCCGTGGGCAGGGAGGGCTCTGGTCCCTCTCCTTCTCCTCCCGACCCTGCCCACACCAGGTTTCAGCACAGTAAAATGTGTCTCTGCCGAAGCAGGCGGGTTTGTTTGGTACAGGGGGCACCAGGGTCTTGCCACCGCACAAGGGAATCCGGCGGCAGCAAGGGAGTGAGGTGCTGGAGTTAACGGTAGTGAGAGTAGGGAGCTGATGGAGCTGCATGGGTAAGATGCATGAAAAGATCTGCACTTAAGGAAAGCCACTGAATTTCGGAATAACAGGACCTGCTCAAGTATTCCTGTATGCAAGGGCTAACCCATGGAAATTTAGTGGGAATTTTGGATAGAATCCACTGTGTAAACTCCATAAAGTGTTCTCTTAAAAAGTTGCATTCAGTTGAAAGAACAAGTAGACTAAGCATAAAAAAAATTGTATAGAATAGCAAGGAAGAAAAGAAACATATGTCTAACAGGATGAGGATGTAGTTTCTGTGGTCAGTCTGGCATCCCCATGCATGAAAGGCTGTAGTCCACTTGTGTTCTTTAATTGAAGACCAGAGGTAATTTTCTTTGGTGTTTGGAGTCTTTCATTGTAGGTGTGTGTGTTTAAGACTTCTAGTGGTATGGTTAATGCCATGTTACTGCAGTTTGGAAACACAAATAACATGCACTGAAACACGGAGTATGAAGATGTGTAAAATCAGCAAGTTGTGGTGGCTGTGCTCGCCACACTTGCCTGGGGTTAGCTGGATTAGCTAGATGAACAGATGGCTCCCGCCATGAATAAGGAGGAGTGTTATTTATCATCTGTTTGTTAGTGCAGATGTTTGGGTTATTGTTCATAGGACAGTTTACACAATGAGTGCCTTTTTGAAAAGAGAAATTTTATATCCTGCTGAAGTGATGATTTCCATTAACTGTTCTATTGTGTGCATTATCAAGGATAATTCTAAGAATATTCTCTGGATGCTTGTGTTCTGGCCAGCACAGCAACTTATTTATACTTAGTTTTCTCATCAACTTTGACTTGCTGTATAGTCTTCTGGGAAAGCCTATGGTTTAGGAGCAGTTAAAATGACAGATTTTCTTAGTGTCTTCCTTATCCTACATAGGTAGCAATACTGGATGTCGAACGTTTTCTTTCACTGCTTTATTTTCACTTCATTAATTCAGAAATTACTTTGACCATTTCTTGCGGATAGACTATTTGTGCTTTTCCTGACTTAGAGAGGGGAAAAGCAGGGAATAGAGGGTTGACAGAATCTGTAGTTTAGGTTTTCCTGAAGGGATTCTGTTCTGATCTGGCTAAATCTTATGGAAAAGTAGCATGTGACTGTGCTACCAAGAACTTCTTCCTGACAGTGCTATTACCAAAGATCAGTTGTGCCTTACTTGCTGTCTGGAAGCCATCCCCAAATAGCTGCGCAAGCTTCTCAATACCTTTTTGCATCTTTGCTTCATGAGAGGCATTCTGAGTCATGAGGACTATTTGTGTGTGAGGGATAGGACAAAATACAGGTACTGTAGTGGCAAAGTAGACATGTCTTCATTACCTGATTAGGAATCTTAGCTCCTTAGAGTCACTTGGAAATCAAGTTAATTTTATAATAATTTGCTGCTGCTTAGTAAGAAAGCTTTGATCTGACTTCTGAAAGGGTGACAGGCATTGCCTGTGCTCCTTCCATCCTCTGGGTTAGCTTTCTTCCCTCAGCCCAGTGGGACTGAAGGCAAAGGTGACTTGAGCTGGTAATATCTGAGTAAGGGGGCCTTGTGTGGAGTATGAATGGTTGTTTATTTACTCACCTAAGTATATTGGAGTTACTCTTGAGGAGCTGCAGTTCTGTATTGCCTTCAGACTTTCTTACTGTGTTCAGCTTCAGAAACTCATTCAGCACTGGATTTTTCTGGACTGTTGGATTTGCAGATGTATTGTCTCCATAGGAAGCATTAGTGTACCACAGAGCAAGGTGCTGTGTAAGCAGGTAAACACCTCTGTGTGAAGGCTTGTGGTAAATTAAACTGAAGAAGAGGATAAAACAGCTTGTTTTAAATCATGTGAGTTGTGACTGTCATATTTTTGGTAGTCATCTTGTATTCTCTGAATAACAATGGGAATTTGTGAGCTTTCATAGAAAGTTTTCAAAATTAAGGATAGTGTGAAATAGCTTGCTCAAAACAAAGAAAAATACAACAAGCAATGGAGGTGCAGACTGTGAAGTAAGGTAGGTTAGTGATATGGCTTTTTGTGTAAGATGTTTAGAACATCTTGAGCTTCTGAACTTTTGGGTAGAGACGCACTGTTAAAAGTGAATTCCAGTGTTTGTGGGAGTAAAAAGACAAAGTGATAAATACCAATATTTTTTAATTTTGGACAAGAAATATGGATAATTCCCTAATACCACTTCTAAATAGTATATGGTGATATTGCAGAAGTTAAGTGGATGGCAAGTTGGCATTAACACTTCCAGAAGTCTTGAAGTGTGAGGATGTAGAAGGAAGAAGCCTTTTCTCTTACCCAGGTTTTCTGGCATAAATGAGATTATGAGGACTTGTAGAGAAATGACTAATTCTTTTTGTGTTCTTGGAACTTTGTCATGATCTACTTCAAAACATAGTGCTGTGTGTTGTAGGCTGGATTTAGCTTGGCCACTGACATGCACATGTATATGGCTGTCAATGTTCTTTATTATACTGCAGCAGCACTTCTCCCTTCTGTAGGAACACCTTTTCTGCCTGCATCAGAAGCTTTCAACCCTGCTGTGTTCAGTTTGGAAAAACTCTGTATATGTGTTACTCTTTAGACCTTTTAATAAAAAGTAACTTATGTTCTCTTTTCAGCTGAAGCATTTTAGAAGCTTTGAAATATGTAAAAAAATGAACAAATGTCATGGCTTTGTCCAGTGCAGCTGTGCTTGTGGTATTAAGTATGTTTTTATGAAAACTAACTAGTACTTATTTTAACATGTTCAATTCACATAACTTACTTTTGTCTGTTTAATCAGAGCATTTCTGTACTTTAAGTTCAGTGAGAAATGAAACATTTATGTTGGGAAAATTCCCAGACATTCTGTACACAGGTCTATGCCACTTACTGTGACACTTGTGTTCTGGAGCAATCTCTATGCTTACCGAAGCCCTACGTCCTGGGAAGTGGCTGGACGTCGCCTGCTGATGGAAAGTAGGGAGTAAGATTTTTGTTGTTCTTTGTTTCTTGCAATGACCTTTGCTTTTGCTTTATTAAACTGCCTTTATCTTGGCACATGAGTTTTTTCCATCTTATTTTCTCCACTTGGCCTGCTGAGGAGAGGAGTGATAGAATAAATCAGGGAGCACCAAGTGTCAAGCCAAGGTCAACCCACCACAAGTTCAGAAACAAGCTTCCCTATTGCCTTGTAAAACCAGAGGAGTACAGGTGGGGTGTGATGACAGGGGCTTGAATGCTGTGTCAATACTTCTGAAATCCCCGAAGAAATGGCATGAATACTTTTCCAAATGTATATTTGGTGAAGATTGGATATTTTACTTAAAGTGAGAATGTTCTATAAATTTTGCTTTCATGTAAATACAGTTCCTGGATGTTGTGTAGTAGTACAAGAATCTACTCTGACATCAGTGGCTTGTGCTGAATGTATAACAGTACTGAAACTTTCTTCTAGTGCATACAGTAAAAATCTGGTTAAGTGATTTGATCCCCTCACTTGTTGCGTATGTTAATACTGATGCAAAAGAAGTTGGACTTCTGGTTTATTGATCCAGGAAGAACAAGTGTGCTGAGATAACTTTAAGAACACTGGAAATTGTCTCTGAATTTTCTAAGTACATTGGAGTTGCTCTTGTAAATGTTGCTCTAGGTGATATTCTTCTGCTCCAGGCCTGGTAGTGCATCCTGGTGCAAATCCGATTTGCATCTGAATCAGGACTCCAGCCTCAGTTTGTGACATGAGTGAGAGGTTGAGGCAGGGCAGCAGTCAGGAAGGGCAAAATTTGACTTGTTTTTAGTGGATCTTGAATCTAAAAGTCTTATTTGAAAGCTTCTTATCTAAGCAGAATTTGGTGGCTTGATCTGTTAGGGAGGTCCCAAAAGTTGCATTCTGATATCCTGAAAATTCTCGGTTCAGAAATTTTCTTCCATACAGGCAAAAGTTAAATTTTGTTAAAACAGGTAATGATCAAAAAGCCTTTGGTGTTTACTTTTAAATTTTATGGGATCTTAAGACTCAAGTAAACAGGTGAGAAAAAATTTCTTGTCTCATAAGGCAGAAGCACTTCCACTGGGGAATTTAGCACTGAAGACTGTAGCAAGACTTCTAGTAGCATCACAAGTCCTGTATAAAACAGTCTTCTGTGTAATCCCAGACTGTCCCATCCATGTCTGCAGGAAGCTTGCTTGTGACAAAACTGTAGACACAATCTATATTCTTCCTTTATTCCATGTGTTGCATTAAATGAAGAAAAGTGCATTGCTTTATTGACTTCTGAATAGGTACTGTAGAAGCCACTTGTGATTCAGAAGCATTAATGCTTTTTGAATATGTGGGGAGGTTCTCACTGTGCTTAATGAGTCCCTGCTGCTGAAATACGAGTCGCTGGTATCACTAGGCAATTAGTATTGACCCTTGTAACCTGAATAGCGTTCACTATGATCTGTGTTTGAAAATGTGGATGCTAATCCACATTTGTCTGCACTACCTGAATTTATTACATTTGTCTGCACTACCTGAATTTATTTGCACTTAGTGTGCACTTAGTATTTGCACAGTGTGTTCATCTTGCACTAAAATGTACCTGTGCTCTTTAGGTAAAACTGCCCCTACTTCTATTTATTCTTGGTAGAGTTCAGGCCCCGGCCGTTTGTGTTCCTGTGTTTGTATTACATTTGGAAATCTCTTCTGTTGTCATGTGAACAGACTGCTTACCTGACTGCAGAACAGCATTTTGAAATTGTTCAAAGA